ATCACTTTCCTCTCCTCTAAGTGTTTCATAATTGATTCCTTGAGGACCTGCTCCATGATTTTTCCAGGGACTGAGGTGAGGCTGACTGGCCTGTAGTTCCCCGGATCCTCCTTCTTCCCTTTTTTAAAGATGGGCACTACATTAGCCTTTTTCCAGTCATCCGGGACCTCCCCCGATCGCCATGAGTTTTCAAAAATAATGGCTAATGGCTCTGCAATCTCATCCGCCAACTCCTTTAGCACCCTCAGATGCAGCGCATCCGGCCCCATGGACTTGTGTCAAGTTTTTCTAAATAGTCTCGAACCACTTCTAGAGGGGGCGCAGCATGGCCACAGCGTGGCCGGAGGAGCCAAGAGGGGGGCGCGGAGCAGCCGGAGGAGGAGCCAAGGGTGGGCGTGGCCAGAGGAGGAGCCAAGAGGGGGCGCCTTTTTTATGTTTGCTCCCCCTGCACTTAGAACCTGGCTATGCCACTGTGAACATGGTTGTGCAGAACTGAGTTAGTTAACATGATGGCTATCCTGACTTTGCAGTTAAGTGTAGACCAGGATGAATCATGTGCTTCATTGTGTCAGCTGTCTCCATTCTTCACAACCGCGTTCAGTGGCGGTAACGATTTGGAATGGAGAGTAGCTCTATCGCAGTGGCACCAGCTCTTGCAATTTTATCCTTCTCGTGATACCTGGTGTTTCATGGGGAGCTCCAGCTCTTGCAGACAATGATTATGTGAATATCTCAGATTTCATTTAACAAAAAAGTAAGTTTCCACTTCTCATAATTGCAGAGAAAAGCTGGAAAACGTGACCCAAGTGCACCCAAGAAATCTCAATTTTTAAGCCAATTTCATGATTTGTAGGGGCGTGACTCATGATTTTTGAATATTTGGCACTGGCAGGGAAAAGTATACTGCAGTGTGATGGAGTCTGTACTGCAGCTATCAGTGCTCTGCCCTTTCTGGGTATGTCTAACCCTGCAGCTGGCAGCATGCCTCCCAGCCCGGGTCGATGGATTCATGCTAGTTGGCCTGAGCTAGTGCACTAAAAATAGCAGTGTAGATGTCTTGGTGGCTAGACTCAGGCTAGCCACGCAAGCTCAGACCAGAGGTCAGGTGGGCTTGAAAGCCCAAGCTGCCACCCAAGCCACTATGTTCACCCTGCTATTTTTAGTGTATTAGCTCAAGCCCATCTAGCTTGAGTCTGTCTACCCAGGCTGGGAGGTTCACTCCCAGCTGCAGTGTAGTCAAACCCTCTGTGGCTAAACAGAGGGCTTCAGTCTCTGGGGCTGTCCATCTGGCCCCTTTCATGAGCTCTAAAGTCAAACACACACAATTTAAAAATTAAAATAGATGATGTAATGTCACAGTTCTTTACCAGCAATGATCAATTAAGTTTCACAATAGATGAACCAATATTTTAATTATTATTAATATGCCCAAATATTTACCAGGTAGGAAAGGGAAGAACAAGTTCTAGTCCAATATGTACTTGGTATAATATAACTGAATCATAATTAAATACACAAAACTACATTAATTCAGCACTAAAGTTGTGATTTTATATATTTTATAAAATGGAAGTTAGGAAATGCCGAAGCCAAAGAGTGAAATCAATAGGAGTTTTGCCATTGACTTCAATGGAGCCAGGATTTCACCTTAAGTTACTTCAGCAACATTAACTGGCTGTGTTGTAATGTTGTATCTTCTAATTTGGTTTTTTTCCTCATGCAGTATCTGGTGCTGAATATGTCATAAAATATATAGCCTTTAAAGTGCAGGATGTGCAACTCGGATGAATTAATGTTGCTGTCTGAACCTTCTGATAAATTCTGTCCTGCTTTATTTATAAGGCCCTGATCCACTTTAATAGGACAAATCAAGTCCTTAAATTAAGCACATACTTAAGTGCTTTGCTGGTTTGGGACCTAAATGAGGACAGAATTTGGCTTAAGCACTTTCTTTTTCTGATGTTGTTCTGATTTTAATTCTTAAACCTGAATGTTGCCTTCAACAGGATTTTTTTTTTTTTTTTTGTATTTAATGTTTTTTTTTTTTTTTTTTTTTTAAGAGGAGGAAAAATAAATTGACACCTGATAATGTTGGTGCCATTTAAATTGGCCTCAGACTTTGAAACTTACATCTCCTGTAGGTGAAGGGAATGAGGGCAGGGTGAGTTCCAAAATTTACTGCTGTTGCTACTTGCTTGTAGATAAATTTTATGTAAGGCTGGATAATCTATTCAGAAGCACCTCTCTTTCCATTGTGGACCTGATCCTGCAGCCCTTTCACATACAATATCTCTTGACTTCAGGGGGAATTATGTAAGAGCTCCAGGGTTAGTCCCTATCATGACAACGTTGTAGCAGTGGGAAAAGACAGAAACTATTTTTTAAATGAAAGCTTTGAATCAGAAGAATATTGCAGAGTGCAGCAAAAATTGTCAAAACCCTAAAATCATGGACTCTGCAATTTTTTCGTGCCAGCAGTTTTCTTCTGTTCCTGGTTTTAAGATTGTGTTTTTTGGAGGATTGTGCTGTGCATTTTTCAGTGAAACATTTATATCCTCCCTTGTACAAATTATCTCAGCCGCAGCAGCAGTCTGTACCAGTCTAGGCTGTTCAGAGGTGGTGCATTCTAATATCATAAAAGGGGTGGAACTTCAGTGAGCAAAAAATCTTAATAGATCCCCACTGATCTTTTTAATTTGCTTGTAAATTTTTTATCCAACCTTTCCCCTCCCCCCTTCCCACCCCAAACTTGGTCATATACTCACACCTCAGTGAGTATTTCTTTCCAAGTTTCAGTGTTCAGCAATTATTTGAGTCCCCTGCATGGGGGACAAAGTGTGGCAATAATTTTTAAACCATTTTTTCTCTCTGCTGTAGAACTCAAAAACAACTGAAGGAATTTTGCTCAGACTTTCATTTAAAAAAGAAAAGAAAAAAAAGGCCCTTTTGAACAGAGACCAATTTTGAAAACATTTCATTCCAAAAGAAGACTTTCCAGAATGATCTGAGCATGTGAAAACAGAGTTACAGCCAAAGCTGATGTTTTGCCTTCAAGTCGGGGTCACTACCCAAAAAAATGCTATAAAATTTACCTACCTCACAGAGGAGTTGTGAGACTTAATTAATTAATATCAGTACAATGTTTGGAGGGATACTTCATTTCTAGGTTGCCTGTGAGCCTGCTTGTCTATCTGCTAATCAATGAAGCAAGCAGATCAAATCACTTTTTGCATATCACTATTTATTTTCCATATCTTGACAGAAGAAACTTGGAGAGCCACACAGTCATAGAGAAACAATGAAAGCCTTCTAATGGGCCATATTCTGTTCTCTAGATACCTAAATTGCTTGAGTGATTCTACTGCACAGTATTCTCTTTTGCTAACATCCTTTAAGGCCTAGTCCAGGTGCGTAGGTTATATTTCTGTTAAACGTTTCTGACAGGATTTTAACCATTGTCTGTCAGAGGCTTGGGGCCCTACTCTGCTCTGTTACACAGACACAATTCCCACTGAAGTTAATGGGAGTTACGCCTCTGGAACTGAGGCTAGGTCTACACTACAGAGGGGGTTGACCTAAGATACGCAACTTCAGCTACGTGAATAGCGTAGCTGAAGTGGCGTATTTTAGGTCGACTTACCTGGCTGTGAGGACGGCGGCAAGTCGACCGCTGCCGCGCCGCCGTCGACTCCGCTACCTCCTCTTGCCGCGGTGGATTTCCGGAGTCGACGGTAGAGCCATCACGGATCGATTTTATCGCGTCTTCACTAGACGCGGTAAGTCGATCCCCGATAGACCGATTGCTACCCGCCGGATCGGCGGGTAGTGAAGACGTGCCCTCAGGGTGGAATTTGGCTGTATGTGTTCAGTAAAAAGAAAAACAAATACTGTGCACTGGAATGTATTGTTTGCCAGAAGCAACACGTCGGAATGCATCTGGTTCCTTTTCACAATACCAAAATAAGCCATCTGATTCTGAATCTGTGTTTTTCTATTAGGGTGTGACATAAGCTCCGTGTCTAATATTATCATTTTTAGTACCAGTTTAAAGCTAGCAATGACAGCTTTCAAATTGATGAGGACACCTGTCCCTGAACTTTTAATATACACTGAATGGGGTTCCACATTTCCTGTAAGAGTGAATATTTTAAAACATTGTTGATGCTCTACATACCATACAGCAATGAAGTCCACGCTTATGGTCAAGGAGAGTGATATACACAGAATGATGTGGCCAAATGCTGGTTTTAAAATGTGTGATTCTAGAATTGTGGAAAGGTCTGGAAGGGTGTTTTTCTGTTTTTGTTTTGCTTTTCCAGTGGTGGTGTAAAGCCCTTTACCTCTTTTAAAGATGATATGGATTGTTTTGTAAAAGCAGGGCTTTGCCACAATGTCTGTGTCCAAAATTTCCCTCAACATGCACTCATGTTGTTCTCTGTGCTTTTTGGTTGCCATCTTATGCTCCATCAATAATTGGATTTCAGTGTTACTTTGTGTGGGTAGCTAATGAAGGCACAGCCCTTGGAGATGGGACAAAGGTAGGTTTGTGCCGTTGAGATTTTGCACTGCTCTGGGGACCTAAATAGCCTCCACCATAAATTTATACAGCCCTGGGATTATGGCAGGTTTTCAGGGCTGCCATTGACTGCTATGACCGTGCCCTCTGCACCAGGACTTGTGAGGGGGCCGGTATAGGGTTGCTTATGGTAATTGAAGTGCCTTCCCCAGAAGAATTCTCCCCTAGGCCCTTGTAGTCTTGTCTGCAACCCATATACATCACAACAGCATATAAACTTCCACAGCAGATGAACTACTGTAACAGCCAAACTAACTTGATGTTGAAAATGAATAATGAACACAAGCCTGTTCTGTCACTTTCTGTTCATGCATGATATTTTAACTGGAAAGCAAAAAGAGTTTGCCATATCCTTTTGTTTGAAAACTACCCGGGGAGAAATAAAAATTACAGTTTTAGTAGTCATCAAATTTTTCCTTCTCAGGTGATCTGGTGTCTCGAGCAATGCATCACCTCCAGCCACTCAACTCAAAGCAGCATGGCAACGGCACTCCAATGCACCACAAGCAGGGATCGCTATACTGGGAACCCGAGGCGTTGTACACACTCTGTTATTTTATGCATTGTCCACAAATGGAATGGGAAAACCCTAATGTTGAGCCTTCAAAAGTCACACTGCAGATTGAAAGGTAAGATCTGATTTGCAATATTTAATATATTTATAAAGATGTCTTATTAATAAATCAGCATTGCTGGCTAATTGACAATTACAGGCTATGCCAAATATGTTTCAGTGCAGTCCATTTTGGTTAGGATCACCTTGAAATAAATTTCTCCTGCAATGAAATGCTCCACTGCTGACCCAGTATATATCAAAAGTGACACCCGGTGGCAACATACAGCAGATTGGTTCCAGATGTGTATTTTGTAGAGATTTCCTTTTTCTTTCTTTGTCTCTTGGCTGTTCTGTATTTTGGAAAGGAAAATTAGAGGTTCTATTTCTAACCTAACAGGTTTGGGTTTAAATGTGTTTTTCTACAAATTAATGGGATTCGACAACGGTAATTTGGGAAGTGGAGAATGAATAGAATGTTGTATTTAAAGGACAGGCTGTTAAACATATTGTGCAACAGTTATACTGATAGCACAGGCATGACTCATACTTACATTCAGGAGTAACCTTGGGGCTTCCATTCTCCAGGCTGGTAGGTGACGCATGATTTTTGGGAGGATGGAGATGCTGGCCGTATTGCTTTTAATACAGCTTTTGATGAAAACTAGAGAAAACAAAGGTAGAAAGAGAATGACAGGCTAGATGTCAACTCAGTGTCCTAAGAAGATGGGGAGAAGGAAACACTGCTGTAAACTCTAGATCATTCCACTGCAAAATTGAAATGAAACAATTGTGCAATTAAGAAAGGGATATTATCTACTGTTGAGGAACCAGGAACTCCTGAGTTGTAAGTCCCAGCTCTGACTCCTTTTGTGGCCTTAGGCAAATCATGAAACTCCCTTGCTTTAGTTTCCTCATCTATGCCTACCTCATAAGGGTCACTTGAGGATTAATTAATGTTTGTAAAGTGCCTGAAGGTGTAAATTATTAACATTTTCTTAACTTCTGTAGGGCTTGTCACCATGCCAGCTAAGTCAAAGTTTCAGGCTGGCCTCCACAATTGTATTTCAAAGTATGTTTGTGGAAAACTCTCATTTGCACACACAAATGGACAATTGCACATCTAATTACTTGATTGGACATTAAAATACAGAGTTTGCGTACTGTAGAACAAATTTGAAAATGTGGCCCAAAAAGGCAAAGGATGTGTGTTATGCTGTCCTGACTGAAACTATTTTGTATTCTTTTATAGAAAACAGCATAAGGTGGAAATTCTGGCCCTACTGAAGTCAATGGGACTTATGCCACTGACTTTAGCGGAACCAGCATTTCATCCATAGTACCTTGGTTAAACCGTGGGGCGGAGTGAGGAATCCTAGGTCGTTTTTTTTCTTGATTATGCAAGAAATTTAAACAGGGACCACTTTCAGTGTTGCCAACTCTCGACCTGTTATTATAAGCTCTGAGATATTTGGTGTTTTTCTTACATCCCCAGCTCCTGAAGTCATGAGAATTTCAACTTTCATTTACAGTATAAAGAAAAAGTAAAATTCTAACACTCATGGTTGTAGAGAAGAGCTGGAAGATGTGACCCTAGATGCTAAAAAATCAGAAGTGAAATAAAAAGAACCCCACACTTATTTTTTAAAATCTCAGGATTTTTCAGCCAGTCTTATGATTTTTTGGGAGGTCGGGAGAGGGAGGCTAACATGCATTTTGAATGCTTGGGGTTAGCAATACTGCATGGAAAGGTATTATAGTGAACAAAGTTAAAGAATCTCCCTACCACTAAAAATGGCCTGATTCTACAGACCTTACTGTGATGAGTAATACCATTGATTTCAGTGGGAGTACCCATGTGAATAAGAACTGCAGGATCAGGCCCCAGTTTTGTAAGATTTCTAAAGACTTCTCAGTGTTAAATGCAAAAGGACAGAACATTTGAACAATTATCTTTTAAAATTTGTTTTCATGTTTTTTTCCCTTTTCTAAAATGGTCTGTTATATATATTATATTTTTTAGCAGTTCAAATAAATATTACATAAAACCCAAGGCAATTTTGTATTTTTAATACTCTGGCAAACTATCTTTCTTTGCAAGGCCTGTTTAGCAACTGTGGTTAGAGCCAGAGTAAGTACTCTGTGTTGTTGCCAGAAGCTTGTGGTTAATTTTGGATAGAGCAGAGATTCCTTCTATTGCCTAATCAAACATGCTTTAGTAGTTAGTACCAGAAAACAGAAGTGGAAGTGAGACAGGGTAAAACATATGCCCAAGTATTTTGCACTGAAGTGTGTTCTATAATATACTGTGTCAACTGTATATAACCATCTTGTGGTGCCCTACAGAAGAGATTGGTTAAGCTGACGTCTATTTAGTGCTTTGAAAAGCTTCCCTTTTAATTTGCCACTGAAGAATACCAGTGGTATTCCTTATTGTGCAGTCACTCTTTATGGCTGGTGACTTATCTCTAGCATGTTCAGTTTTCATTATGTGTTTTTATGACTTCTGAGGGAATAGGATTGTTAAAACATGAGATTTTTGTATTTAACAGTTCTAATCCTTGTGCTTTAATTTATCTAGGTCCCAGATTCTCTCTTCTTCTAATGCTGTTCAATTGCTTTTATGTTGGCAAACAATAAAAAGAAAAAAAATGTAGGGCTAGATTTTTCTACCCCTTCTCTGGCCTCTTTGTTGTCACTCTGGTGGGGCAAAGGAGCCAGAAACTGAGTGGATCTGGACATAGGAAAATTTCTCTGGCATGGTGGAGTCCTCAGGTGTCATGAAGCCAATGCCACTCTCTTCCCATCCCAACATAAGGGTCATGATGAGTGCAAAGAGGAATAGGAAGATGTGGCCAGAGTGCATTGTGCTCTAGCCATGATCAGCTTATGGGTGGCCTCTTGGAAGCTGTTACTGGCTGCTCAGTTTAGAGAAGCTCCTGAACAATCTAGGGACTCAGGGAGCTGCAGCTCTGCTCCCTCATGGCTCTTCTTGCTCCCTCTGCTGCAGAAGCTGCATGTAGCAGAGAATCTGGGTTGTAGTCTTGATTGTTATTTGTATTGCGGTAACATCTAGGACAGTGGTTCCCAAACTTTAACAACCTGTGAACCCCTTTCACTAAAATGTCAAGTTTCGCGAACCCCCTTCTAAAAATGAATATTTCCAGGGATTTTCTCCTTTACCTCAGTATAAATTATAAAAGCAGTGATCTTGGAAATATAACATTTGTTTTTATGACATGCTTATTCCACACTATTATTAATTATTATTTATCATTACAGTATTTTTATTACATTATGAAAACGGCAACACTCTTCCAAGATCTCACTTTCATAGCTTGTATCACTTTGAATAAGCCTGTTATAAGAAAAGGCTCCTAAGTTTCATTAAGGAGTATAAGATGTGAAACAGCCTGAAGGTATTTAAGAAGCCAACTCAAAGAGTTCCTCCTTCCACAAGCATTCAGGTCTTGAGCAGTCCAGGCAAACAATGCACGTTACAACAAAGCTTAAACTTGTTCTTCATAATAATTTTAAAAACAATACTAGCTGCCTATTTAATTATAAAATCAGCAAAAAATATCCACTTCCCTTTCCATTTCTTATAAGGAGTCTTGAAGTTTAAATCTCCTCAGTGTGATAGATATGCTTGCTTTGATCTGCTTAGCTCTTGGAAGCTCAAGGGCTCCAGGCTGCTGGCCCCATGCTGCCCGGGTTTCCTAGGGACAGCTCTGTCCGCCATTAGGGAATTTTTTCCCAAGAACCCCCTGTAACATTTCACGAACCCCCAGGGGTTCATGAACCCCAGTTTGGGAACCACTGATCTAGGACACCAGCCCCATTGTGCTTAGTGCTTCACAAACACATACCAAAAGATGGTGCCTTCCCCAAAGAGTTTACAATCTAGATATGTAGGACCAGATTTTATCTTTGAATAAATCTGGCCCATTGTATTTATGTAGTATTTCTCTGTACTCAAGTAGGTTTTTGTTTTTTAATGAAGTAAATGAAGATGAGTGCAGTATATTTATCTCAATAGACTATATTAACTAGAGGGGGGAAGAGTGTTGCCGACTCTCAGAGTTTTATTAGGAGTCTCCTGATATTTGGTGGGTTTTTTTCATAAAGTTCCAGCTTTTGGAGTCATCGGATTATATGAGAATCTCAGTGTTTATTAGTTTAAATAAAAAAGCAAGTATCTAGCATTCATTTTGAAGAGAAAAGCTGGAAAATGTGATCTGAGTGTATCCTAAGGGCTCGAAAAACAGAAGACCAATAAATAGACCTCCACATTTGTTATTTTTCAGTCTTATGATTTTCAAGCCAACCTCAAGATTTTTTGAATGTTTGAAAGGAATTGGAAATACTGGGTCAATCAATTGGCTGATTGGTTGGTTGGTAGTACCATAGGAGTTGTCATCTTGGTCTTGAGTGGCCTATGCAATTAAATAAGCTATAAAAAGTGATGCATGTGCCCAATTATGCAATTTTTGCTTAAACATCTTATATTTTATTGGAATTGTCTTTATTATATGTTAGAGGTGTGAATACAATTCAAAAACGTCATCCATCCTCTCATGGAAGACTCTATTCTACATAATTCTTCTCCCCCTCCCTCCACCTCTGCTCTCATTTCATCCTACTCTCCCTATTGATGCCTATGCTCTAAGTGCCCCATATGCCTTCCCACTCTCAATTTCATACCTTCTTTCATGCTAAGCCTATGTCTGTCATGGTGCACCTTTCATAGAACACCCATCCTCTCCTGATGCACCGATGGCGAATTTGAAGGCAGAGGGACGAAATTTTGAATGAAATTAACCCCATCCAGACAGCCCCCCACAGAGCCGATACACCATACATGTCCTATTTTGAGTATGGGCTTAAGTGGGACTTGACTAGCGCAAAGGCCTTGTACTGGCCTTCTGCACATAGGTAAATTTCACTCCCAGTTAACTCGCTCTCTCTACATTCAGATCCCTCCTAGAAGTATGTTTCTTTTGCAAGGCCTTCAAATGACAACAAGCCATGTATTTAAAGTATGTATAATTAAATTAATCACCCTATATATTGCAT